GTAAGTGATACATACTTTGTGCAATTATTTAATCAATACACATGATTGTCAATCCATTTTAGCATTTATATTCTCTTGCATATGCTTTCAACTGTTCTGATATTTCTTTCATTTTTGCTTCTCGTTTCAGTTGTTTAGAAATTTTATCAATATCTGACTCTTGTCGATTAACTTCTGTATTACATGTTTCTACTATTATTTGTTTAAATTTATCTTCAATGTTTTTATTTTCTATAGTACTTGAAGTAGCAGTCTCTGACGCTTCTTCTATTTTGTTAAAGGGCTTTCTACCTTTCGATAAAGGTCGTGCTTTTTTATCTTTTACTTTTTGTATGGTACGAGCCTTACTTACATTCTTTTTTTTGAGCAACCTAGTTTTGTGTGTATTTAAATGGCAATTATCATCCGCTAAAATTGAAGATTGTGATTTTACTGCAGATGTTTCAAATTCTTGAATATTGCTATCGCAACTACTTTCAATTGTATTTAGGGTTTCATTTATAATTTCATTAGGAAACATTGGCTTAGAGTGAAATTCATCGCCGCAATGACTAGAAGTTTCTTCATCCTGGTCACAAGTGTCTTCAACCTTATTCACAATATTAGAATCATCCTTATGGCTGTACATGGCAAAAGGATTATCTTCATCAGAATCTGATTCTAATGTTATACCTAGATCCTTTTTCTCTTGTCTGATCCGTCGTTTCTCCAAATAAGAATGCAGGGCATTTAATCTATCAGTTCTCTCAGACTTCCAAAAGGAAAGAGCTACAAAGACATAAATAGAAAAATATAAACTATATTGCAATTATTGTATTATTACTCTATTAAGCAGAATGATACTGAATTATACCTTCCTCTTGATATCGACATGGTACTCCAGCTATTTGAAGAGTGTTCAAGTTTGGAATGCATTGATAATGATCCGAATCACCAAGTACTTCTGTTCTAGGTTTTATAAAAATTCTCTGCATTTTTAAAATCTTTCTAGTTTTAGCAAAATATTTTAAACTTGGAATTTCATCGAAAACAGGATCATTTGCTACAAGAGTGTCGTTTTTTGCGAAAAACATATATGTACCACCAACATCTTCGTAAGTACCTTCGTAAAACTAGAATCATTAGAATTATCGATAATGTTGCCGGTATAATTTTATTTGTCCTACGTATGACACAATGTTAAATTACCTTCCCATTAATTTTCATGATCGGATGTTCTGTGTCTATACCGATCATATCTAATTGTAGTTGCTCTTCGCTAAACACATTACCGTCCACAAGTCCTTCAAATTCTACATACACGAGGATTTCATCTTCGTCTTCACATATTTCGTTATCAGATCCCATTTCAATGCACAATTTATACTCTTAGCTTCTTCTGTAAATATGCATAAGCATCATGCAATAAGAAAAAATACGTGTGCATGGGTGTAGTTTATGTACATTATATGTATGCATATTGATCTTTTCTCATCGTAAGACTCAGGAGATTTAGCGAGCCACTATGGAAGATGTACTTATAGTTTGTCTTTGCTCTAATTGGTTAATTTTTACAAATTGACAACGTTCAATTTGATTGTTGGTTTTAATGAGTTGATTAAAAATTCAATTGAAATTATAAAAAATTTTCTATTTTATACGTAAATCATGATAGAAGTGCATATTGTTTAATTATTGTACACAATCGTTGTTCAAAGTTTCCCGCTAATTTTTGTATAGACGACGTGACGACGAGTCGTAACGTACCAGTGCGATAGTTTGTTACATTGTTTAGTAGATTTGTTGTACTACAATATATTTGATAACTTTGTAAAACAACAGTTTCAATTTGAAAATATTAAATACAAAAAATGATTACGCATTCAATTTGTATTTTGTATAGGTTATAATACATTGAATTCGTCTGTAAAGTAGCATATGTAAAGCATAATAACATAACAAGTGATATTATCCACGTGCAATTGATGCAGTAATAGTACGTTTGTATGTAATGTATTTTTTAGAACATTTGTAATATAAACAAAATATTTTTTAAAACAATTTTATAGTATATTCATTTTATTAACTTGATAAACTTGATCTATAGTTTTATATAAGTCAGAAGTCGGAAGTTAAGCATCGGATTTGTTGTAT